AAAATTCCATTAGTGTAAGCGGAGTAAGCGTCACCCCGTCTGCACTCCTAGACCCGCCCTGTACTTTCCAATGTCCGCCCATCTTCCGTATCTTACGCATCCCTGCTCCCCTGAGAAACGCCCGCATGCCTTCACCCGCCTCCCCTTTCCAATGTCCGTCCATTTTCCTCACCTTATTGGAGTAAGCGTCACCCTCCCCGTATTCCTAGACCCGCCCCTGTCTGTATTCACCTCCCAATGCCTATCCGTCGTCTCCCGTACCACACGCATCCCTCCTCTCACATTTCTGAGACCTATCTATTCCTTCGAGACATGGTGTCGCTAATTTGGCACAAGTAAAATCATAGAAAATACTAGAAAAAACATTACAATCACAAAAATATGGCAACAAAAATATAGAAAACCATAAAATTAAAAACCTAACAAAAAATACTAATCATTTACGACACAAAACATATCTAAAACATCTCAGTTTAATTGCTAAGTACAAGAAAATAACTGAAAACTTAATACAAAAATGAAAAACTGACTCACCTGGTGTTCGTTCCTTTCTAGAACTTGCTTGTTGATCTATTTGCCAATCGAAGGGGTCCATCACAATGTACCAATACCACAATATCAACATCGCCATGACGTCGAACAAGGCGAAACATCTCCAGCAACACTGAAAAAGTCATCAAGTTTTCGCCAACGAAACTCACAAAAACCCACTTGAAAGAAGCTACTAGGAAGTAATAAAATAAATCTCCAACCGCTCGACACGTCCGACTGCTCACGAATGACTAAATGATGAGGATGTGGCGATATGTGTGCCACCCCGTCTGCGCCTTTGTCTGTGTGCACACATGGACAAAGAAGTCCTTTGTCCCAATAAGGTTAAGAGGGAAATGTACAGGAGGGCGCGGGTCATTTTTTAAAAGGACTGTATAGACCCTAAGGGAGTATAGAACCAATCGATTGGGTGAGTTGGGGTTGTGACATCAAAAGAAACCGTACTGTACAGGCACTCCGTTCGCCCTCAATGAGGGTATACCGAAAAGGGCAAAAGCGGGCCGGTGGGCGCACAGAGTGGCTGGGCACACACATCCCCTTCATCACTACAAAATACACATACATGTATAAGTAAAACTACTTAAAAAGAAAAGCTGCTAATCAAGCTCATCCGTCATCAATACTAATTAACCCCGTCCGTCCAAAGAACAATACCATACACAGGCGGAATGACAACACATTTCATTCATAAATGCAAGCTAAAGATAATAAAAAAAGTACAGAAAACCATAAAATAAAAAGCTAAGGAAAAAGGCTAAACATAAAGATGAAAAATGGACTAACCTCCTTCTTTTCGAGATCTTCCTTGATGATCTAATTGCCAATAAAGTTCGCCAACATTGCCAACAACACTAAGTAAGTTACTAGGTTATCGCCAACGAATTCTGCAATAAATGATTTTCTTCACGACAACGATAAGCTGCAGCAATACAACAAAAATAGAAATTGGCCAAAAACCGTCCCAAGAAACATTCAATTAGCTAATAGAAAATTAGAAAAAAAGTGAAGCCGAATTTAAGATATAACGAAATTCAAATTTTAGTACATCTACATTCATGCATTTCTCAACCAAATCCAACTTCGATGACCTTACGCTTTAAGAGTAATTTACTTGAAAAGATGACTTAAAAGTGTCTTAAAAATATAATAACAATTTAACCAAAAGAAAAAGTATAACTTAAAAAAGAGAAAAAAACTTTCCCCTAAAACGCAATATGAAAAGAATTATGGGAGAGTAGTAAAACAAACGTCCGAACGCTCGACAGACCCGATTGCTCCACGAATGACCTGATGACGAGGATGTGGCTATATATATGTGCGCACAAGGACAAAGGAAGTCCTGTGTTTTTTAGAAAAGACTGTATAGGCCTAGGAGAGTACAGTGATAATCGACTGGGTGAATTGGGGGTTCAGTGTTGGGGTGTGTGCGTGTGAGGAGCGAACGGGTGGGCAGACACTTTGTTCGCTTTCAGTGATGAGGTTAGGGCCCGCTTCAAGTCTGTTCGCTATGACTTTTATATATTAATAATCATTATATTCACATCCGTCCATTCAGCCCAACGGTTTGAGAGACAGTATCAGCAAATTAAAGCAGTAATAAGTAACATATGAATAAACCTAAAACTTCTAATTCTAAAGTAAATTCGTGAATATTGAATGTGTGGTATGCCAAATGCAGGTAAATCGAAGTTTTTAACTCGCTGTTCAAATGCAGATACAAAGGTACCAGTTTGGATTGACGATAAGCCAAAAATCGCCTGCATGACAAGCTGGGTCATCCATTCCTATATATGCTTCAACTTCAGTTATCACTCCCCTGAAGTTTTTTATTCTTTACCTGTAGTGTTAAAAGATGGAAAAGTGTTAGCTTATCTGCATCACAACGAATACTTCTTGTGCTTTAGCTCTGGTTAGTTTATTCTTTAAGTGGGGGTATAGCTCAGCTGGTAGAACATCTGTTTTGCACGCAGAAGGTCAGCGGTTCGATCCCAGTGTTTGCCGTTCAGTATGGTTGTTCGTTAGCAGAATGTCACCTACAGATCCAAAAATCGAAAAGAGAAAATGGGATCGTCCAGGTCCTAGTTACTAAAGTCTGATCAAACCAGCTTGTGGCACGCTTTCTAAGCGTTTCGCTCAAAGCCACTTCCGCATTTATCGCACCATCGGCAAACTTTGATACCTGAGCTGGCCTTGGCTTACAATTTTATAAACATCGTAATTTAAAAACAGGGAAAGCAGAACTAAAAAACTACTTGCCTTATTTTCATCAACTCCAGTAGATCTTCTTTACTTATCATTTTTAATCCTTAACAAAAAAATTAACTAGGTTCTGCTAGCCGTTATTTTCAAGATAAAGACTCAAAAAGAAAAAATCAAAACATTCACAGTAGATTAAGCTTATATCTGTGTTTTATATGTGAATATTAGAATGAGAATTTATGGATTATAGGCAGATCCTTTTTAAACTGCCAAAATTTTCTATCAAACTCTTTGCTATGCACGCTTTGCTCAGAATAAGCTAAGTCCCTTTCCTCCATTACCACCATTTGGACCACCAAATTCAACAAATTTTTCTCGACGAAAACTTACACAACCATCGCCCCTCTATCTCTTCTGCTGTTTTACTATTTTCCACTTTTCACTGCAGGAAGTGATAAAAACATAAGGCTTTCCCCAATTGAGGAACAATAATAGAATCAGCAACCGTCAAAGCATTCCTGTGTTGTGTGGATCAGCATTTAAAAATAAAGGGTGTCCTGCTTTTTGTAATGATAGTGATCATATGCAAAAAAATCACTGATTTTAACGCATGGGGCTGGAGAACTAAGTTTTGGATATTCAAATTTTGCACGTTATACATCAAGTAAATAGAATTTATTACCCTATAGCATTAGCAGTAAATCACGGATTGCATCCAGAATCTCAGGAGGAAGTTGAGTTTGTTGTAAGTTATGCAAAAGAAGCTCTATTCATTGCAGCTATATATTTTGCTGTACAGGCTTATTCTTCATATCAGCAAATGTATTGGCTCTAGTGAGTCAATTTTAATATCGGCAAAAAGCAGGGGCTGATGTTAACTCATTAGACAAAGATGATAAAAATGCTGAAGAAAGTTTTAGCAAAACAAGAGGTAGAATTAGGCATCTCAGATGCATAGCAAGCCTCCATGGCTCAGAGCAAAAGCTCCGACTTATTTGCTGTTGTATATTGTGCAAAGCAAGAGATTCATTGATAACTTTGTCACTATCCTTGCTGTTTTCTGTGTTGCCTATATTAAAATAATTATTATAGCATGAAGTTATTAATAATATATATTTTAGCGTAGCAGATACACCTAGTCTAAAACTTGTCATTATTTTTTTAATTGAGAATGGACATAACCAGGTGACGTTGGAATGACTTTGTTAATCACCAGCTATGGTGATTAAAGACAAGAAAGGTGTTCACTGGATAGAGTTTTTTAGGCAAGTACAAATTGAAGGAGGGGTTAAGCTTCTAGGCAGTGAAAGAGCTGATCAATAATGCTAAGTGCCGCTTATGCATGTGATAGCTGCAAAAGCTGTTGCATTTAAAGAGGCATTGGCGCCAGAGTTAAAAGCCTATATCAAAAGAGTTGTGGAGAATGCGAAAGTGCTAGCTCAAGCGTTGCCCTGCGGTTGATCTCCAGCTGGTTGAAAATGCGTAACTAGTTGAAATTTCATAATTCCTATATTATCATATATTTATAGAGTAAATAAGGTATGAAAGTGAGTGTCAATGGATACAAAAAAACTCTATTTTCTCTTTTTATAGAGCTTGCTCCAAATCCTTTTGTTGGTTAGTACAACAAACACCGTTAAGATTATAAAATACGCCACCTAGCTGTAACATCACAGATGAGGGAGGTATATGCGTGACCAATGTGCGGTTTGTCGTTTACATAATATATTGGCGTGGTCTTTCTAGTGATTCCGACTGCTGTTTTGGTTTTAGCTTTAATATTGTTCTCTAGATAATGTTAATAGAAATTCCTGCTTTGAACAGATTCTTGGCTATTTCTATTATCTCTACTTTTCTTTTAATTCTTTAGCTTTATCCCGTGCTTTTTGTGGTATTGTTTTATCATTCTTTGCATTTCTTAGAACCAATGCTTAATTAGCGTAAATTTCTTATCGTACGATGCACAGACAAGTGGCGGATAATGTTATCACCCATGGATCAATAAAGCACTGGAGAAAGCGCAGAAGAAAGTTGAAGCCGACACTAATTTTTCTGTGCAAAGGAGGATATTGAATTCACATTAATCAGCAAAGATAAAAACATCTGTCAAGGAACAGAAAGAACAGTAAGCACTAAATTGAAACGGATTTGATAGATAAATTAGCAATTAATAAAGAAAACATTGAAAAGAACTTAAATTCTTCAAAAGGTTTAATTTTCTCACAGCGTATCATCATAATACAAACATTTAACTTACTAAATAATTACGTATTTATATCAATGCCAACATTTGTTGTTGAAAACAAACCACTTGATGTTGATAAAATTCATGAAATACTTGTTCATTATTGTATCTTCATCATGCTCAACAACGATTACGGTGTTTCCCATATCTCTCAGGTTTTTAAGTGTGGCAATTAATCGATCATTATCACATTGATGAAGGCCTATTGATGGTTCATCAAGCACATATAGAACACCTGTTAACCCTGAACCAATTTGTGAAGCAAATGGACTGTATTATATATACCTCTTGACTGCAGAGGTTACTTTCCACTTCCGCATTTATCGCACCATCGGCAAACTTTTATACCTGAGCGGCATGGCAGAGCTTCCTTTCTGTCCAGTAGAAAAATATTCGGCAATTTCCGCAATCTCAGTTCTTTGTAAGTGACGAATTTCAACAGCAACATTTTCCATTGAACTTGCAATTACTCCTAAAACTGAAAAAAACATGGTCAAAAACAACTTTTTTAATACCTCCAATATGCACGTTAACTAAAATTTAGCATAGAGCATGTGACAATTTGTTAAAGAAATAGTGATAAAAACAGATACAAGAAATATATCTGTACCAACTTCAATAAAGGCGTTATCGGACATTCTTCTTCTTAATTATTGCAGTTTTAACAATAGTTTTATTATCCAATCACTATTCTACTACCTCGCAGTGCACCTAAGAACAATAATAAGGGATTTAAAATAAGGCCAGAAAGTTCTATAGGGTTAACCATATCACATAGAGAAAAGAAAGTGTAAGATCACGTCTTCCATTCTGATAATTAACTCGTAAATAAAAGTAATTTATGCTTGCATTTTCTTCCAGACTACTTCTCCGCTTTGTATATCGATGCCAATTACTTTGTTGTCTTTAGTCACTATAAAAATTCTACCACCTGTTTTTTGTTCCTTTACAGGGATAAGTGGACTATAATATGACTCAATGTCTGATACACTTTTTACCTTTAGTGGCTTGGACCATAAAATATTTCCTGATTTTACGTCAATACTATAAATGTAAGAGTTATTTTTGGCTATTAAAATGTTGTCACATACTCTTGGTGTGGTAGTTATATCTGTGAGCGGTGTATCAAAAAGGTTTGTGAACAATTTTTGGCTCCACAATTTTTTACCATCTTCATTAAAGGCTATTAGTTCACCGTTTGAAAATGGTGCTATTATTTTATCGTTGAAAATTGCTGGCGATATGGAGTATAAACCTCACTATAAAGCAAAAGCAACATTTTTTCTTCTTGGTGAACGCATAAATAAAAAAACATCTGAGATAGTAAAGAAAATCTATAATGCTGGTCATGAGCTAGGCAATCACTCCTGGTCACATAAGAAATTGACATCACTCTGTCATCCCAGTTCTTGACAGTGGGATCCAGGTTTCTTTTTCTCTAGATTCCAGTGTCACGTGCTGGAATGACACTGAAGAGTGAACTGACACTGCACAATACTCAATATCTTTTCCTATCGCTAAAGCCAAGTTAAGCGATACTCCACCAGTATCAAATGTTATACCTTTACCCACAAAAGCTATCGGTTTTTGTTCTTTAGAAGCTCCATTCCACCTTATTACTACCAACTTAGGCTCTTTACTACTTCCTTGTGCTACTCCAAGCAAAGCTCCCATTTTCTTCTTTTCCATCTGCTTTTTATCAAGCACTTCAATTTCAAGACCAAATTTAGTAAGTTCGCTTTTTATACAGTCAGCATAGGACTCTGGGTACAAAACGTTAGGTGGTTCAGTGAGACATACACTTCTCCTATTGGCTTTAAATATTCACCAGGGTATAAGCCTTTTTCAATGCTAATTTTTTCTCCTAGGGCTTCTTTATATCGTAAATACACCGACGGGGGTGGGGTAGGCATACGTAGAGGGTGGGCAGACACTTTGTTCGCCTTCAGTGATGAGGTTAGGGCAGAAATGAGGGAAAGGGGGGTAGGCATACGTGGAGGGTGGGTACATACATCTTAAGAGACCGTACCGTATTCACTGTGCTCGCCCTCAGTGAGGTTTGGGCAGAAATGAGGAAAAGAGTTAACGAGCGAGCGGGTGGATACACACATCTGAAGAGACCGTACCGTACAGGCGGCCATGAGCAGAAGGTTTAACGAGCGAGCGGGCACACACATCGGTCTTCATCATTAAAAAAATACATTTGAATAACTAGAATGACTAATAAAGAAGTTAAATGTAAGAAACATTATACTTAACAGACAGTGATAAGTAAGAGCAGTTCATTCACTCAAGAAAGTTAGAAATTAAATAATTGAAGCATTCAGTTAGCTAATGAAAGTCTTGGCTAGTTCGATAAATCCCAATCCTAACTATTATTTCATAGTGACTGATATAATTGCACACTTATAAACATCACAACATTTAGCTAATAACTGAACTACTAATAATTCACCCTTATATATATGAAGATCACGAGAATGGAAATAAAATATATTTATTTTTAAATTAATTACATTTCTTCACGTTTTTGGCATTTAATTAAAGTAGAATCGAGCATTTTTAAAAATGTTTTCAACATTAAATCAACAAAATCTTGGAACTTTCCTAATAATCCATTTTTAAATTTGTAATTAAAATTATTTTTAATGCCAAAAAAATTTTTAATCACTAATAATTGCAAATTTTTTTTTACTTCAACATTGAAATATTACTCTAAAGTGGATTTTATAAACTTTCTTTTTTGCTTAAATTCTCAAATATCCACCAGAATATATACTGATCAATACGAAACTCTTGGAAACTGTCGAACTTTCTTAATGATCCATATTTAAATGTACAATTAAAATCAAGCATTAAGTTAAAAAAACTCTCGGAAACTCCCGAACTTTCCAAATAACTCATTTTTAAGATCTGCAATTAAAATTAATTTCAATACCAAAAATAAATTAAAATCATCACTAATTGCAATTTTCATTAAATTTGTACATTGAAAGATTACTTCAGAAAATTCTATAAATTTCCTTTTCTGCAATTATATGTCAAATACCCCAAACAGAATGTGTGCAGATCAAGAGCAGTGTAAATAAAATGATCAGATAAGTCCAAAATATATTTTATTTTTAAATGAATTAAATTTTTATAACAATGTTGGCACTTACCTGAAACAGAATTTAGCGGATTTAAAAATTTTTTCTGTATTAAATTAACAAAGACTCTTGTCGAATTTAAATCTGCTATTAAAATTAATTTCAATGTCAAAAATAAATTTTATTAAATTTGTACATTGAAAGAATACTTTAAAGTGAATTTTATAAACCTTTCTTTTGTCTGAATTGTCAAATATCCCCGCAGAATATACGAAGATTAAGGGGAATGCAAGCAAAAATAATCAGTTATGTTCAAAATATATTTTTAATGAATAATATTTTTCTCTGGCACCTAATTGAAACAGAATTAAGAAAAACTAAAATTTTTTTAATACTAAATTTATAAAAAACTTCTAAAAATAGTCGAAATTTCTCAAATAACCATGTCTAGAATTGTGACTAAATTTAATTTTAACATTTAAAAAATAATTGCAATCATGTATAGTTGCAAATTTAATTAATTTCTGCATTGAAAGTTTGCTTTAAAGTTGATTTTTAATACATTCCTTTTGCATAAAATGTTAAAAATAGTGCATAAAATGTAGGCAGATCAAGTGAGATGCAAATAAAAGTAATCAATTAAGTTCAATAATATTTATTTTTAAATGAATTATATTTTTCCAGCATTGGTAGAATTTAAATGAAACAGAATTAAGAAAAATTAAAACATTTTTAATATTAAATTTATAAAAGCTTTTAAAAATTGTCGAAATTTCTTAAACAATCCTGTCAAGAATTGTGATTAAAATTAATTTTAATATTCAAAAAATGATTGCAATCATTTATAATTGCAAATTTAATTAATTTTTGTATTGAAAGTTTGCTTCAAAGTTGATTTTTAAAAGTTTTTCTTTTGCATAAAATATCCAAAATCCTTGACAAGATGTAAGCAGATGAAGTATAATGCAAATAAAAGTAATCAAATAAGTTCAAAATACATTTATTTCAAAATGAATTATATTTCCCTAACATCTTTGGCACATAACTAAACAGAATTTTGGAATATTAAAACTTTTTTTAATATTAAATGTACAAAAACTCCTAAAAATTGTCGAAAATCGTTAAATATCCGTATCTGAAACTGTGATCAAAAATTAATTTCAATATTAAAAAATAATTGAAATCAATTATAGTTGCAAATTTTATTAAATTCTGCACTGAAAAATTTTTCACATTAAAGTGAATTTTATAAATTTTTTTTTCATAAATTGTCAAATATTCCTAACAGAATACATGAAGATCAAGGGGATTGCAAATAAAATTGTGAATTAAGTTCAAAATATATCTATTTTTAACGAATAATATTTTTCTAATATCTTTGGTATTTAATTAAAACAGAATTCAACATTTTAAAAATTTTTTCAGCATTAAATTTTCAAAAACTCTCGGAAACTCCCGAACTTTCCAAATAATTCATTTTTAAGATCTGCAATTAAAATTAATTTCAATACCAAAAATAAATTAAAATCACCACTAATTGCAAATTTTATTAAATTTGTACATTGAAAGATTACTTCAGAGAATTCTATAAATTTTCTTTTCTGCAGTTATATGTCAAATATCCCAAACAGAATGTGTGCAGATCAAGAGCAATGTAAATAAAATGATCAATTAAGTCCAAAATATATTTTATTTTTAAATGAATTAAATTTTCATAACATTGTTGGCATTTAATTAAAACACAATTTAGCATTTTAAAAATTGTTTCAGCATTAAATTGACAGAAAAGCTCTTGGAAACTGTCGAATTTAAATCTGCAATTAAAATTAATTTCAATATCAAAAAAAAATTAAAATTGGCCTAAAAGCAATTTCCATTAAATTTGTACATTGAAAGAAAACTTTAAAGTGAATTTTATAAAGTTTCTTTTTTGCCTTAATTGTCAAATATCCTTAACAGAATACATGAAGAAGATTGCAAACCCCCGAAATTCAGTTATACTCAGATTATATACAGATTACAATTCAGTTATACCCAGATTATAATTCAGTTTTACTCAGATTGTAATTCAGTTCTACTCAGATTATAATTTAGTTATACTCAAACACTTAAAAAGTTAAAAAAGTATTTTAATTTTTTAGCATAAAAAACTGGCAAAAAACATTAAAAATAAAAAATATTAAAATAAAATATTAAAAAAAAATAAAAATATATAGTAATGTTCTATCATATTTAAACAGAGAACAAAAAAAAACTTTTTTCATCAAAAAAATATTTATATTAAAATTACTTTTGCTCATATGTTGCTGTGATTCTCTGATTGAAAAGACAAAATCATTTTAATTGTTTTAAAGTTTTTTTTTATTTCTATTGTTAAATTTATGTTAAATATGTGAATGATTCTTTTGTAAGAATGCAACTTCTCTAATACTGTAATTTTATCTCAGAAACAAGATTTCTGTGGCTATTATTAAAAAGCAAATTCAATATTTCTTTCTGCTTCGTTTAAAAAAAGATGCTCTCAAAACGTTTGTTTATCATTTATTTATTATTATAAAACTTCATCGATTCTTATTATTGCCTTTAATTTACTTATGAATCCATTTCATTTCAAAATGGAAAAAGAGACAATTTATTTTAGATCTATAAAAAAATCTAACTTTTCTCTTGATCATTATTGAAATAATTTCGGAGCAAAATAAAATACTCACTTTAGCATATAATTTAATAATTTCGATTTAACATTTAACAGGAACAAAATCATACATTTGGAAAAAATAAGAGAAATTAAAAGTACTTTTCACAAGCAAAATTGATTCATCAGTTTCTTTTTTCATGTGTATGCATGAATGAATTATCAAATAATTTAAAATAGCTATGGAATATTGTTGTAATTCAGTTAAAATTAATTCAATAAATGCAGAATATTTGTTGAATATCGCTGATGCTTTTCAAGTAATTCAAAAATCAAATTTATTATAAGAGCAATCAAAAAAGAAGGAAGGAAAGGAAGAAATTTAAAATAATAAACAAAATAAGAAAAATGTGCTGATTTTTTTTAGAATTAATGGATTAAATTAATCCATATTTCGTATAAAAATTTTTTATCAATTGAAATTTCTTTCTTTATTTTTTATATCCTAAAGAAGAGTGATAGTAGAAAATAAATTCGGATAAGTAAGCAAAAAGCTTTTCATTATTGATAACATTTTGAAATACTGAAATGGAGAGATTAAAATTGGGAAATTATTACCGATTGTAAATTATTGTAATCTAAAATTGAACAGACAGATCTTTCAGTAACTTACTTGTAATAACAGATAATACATTTTTTTTTTTCCCTTTTTTTAAATTATAGCAAATACTTTTTCTCTTGCATTTTTCTTTTAAATTTTAACAAACCTTTCAACTACTTTTTCTTCCTCATTTTCAATTCGATTTTAACTGAAATTTCAATTATTTTTATAATGCACTGCAGATAGGTAAATAATTGATTGCTAATAATAAACATTTTAAAGACTGGTTCATTGTATAGTTATATTATTTGCTGAATTTCTTTTCCATTTATTTAAATACTTTATGCTTTTTCCTTTTGGTATT